CTTTCTAGAGCGCCCCTGTGATTAGCCGGGACGCTGGAACATTTGACTTGCAGGCTATCCCGTATACGACTATCTAGGCTAAAGGCCTGCCCAATCGTCTTCCAGGATGGAAACTCTCGGTCCTCTTCCACTTCATCCAACGGCACATCTTCGGTGGAGAGAGGGATGTCTGGCTTGGATCTGGGGCGAACTTGGATCTGCGGAATATTCGACCGAGTGTCCCCCGCCGGAAGATAACCCAGAGCATATACGGAGAAGGAACTCATCAGATATGTCATGTCGTGGATTGTAATGGAAGGATCACTCAGTCAGGGGATACCAGGTAGGTTCTCTTTCTGCTAAATGCAGTTCTATTCCGATTCCGGCCCGGGTGTTTCTCCTCCGCCGCTCAAAATGGTCAACACGACCTCGCCTCACCTCGTCTGGCTATGCACTCTACCAGCACACCGCACGTGTCGTCCAGTAGCGATGCCTACCAGGAGTTGGCTTATGGCATTGTAATCAGGCTTTACCTGGGCGCGGTTTACTTAAATGGCAAGATAGTACTTCAGCCGGTATTTCCATATCAGAGAAATCTGTTGGTCGCAGCAAAACTGACTCAGCCTCGGCTCAGCCTCGCCACACGCCAGGCTCCTAGGAGTAGTGGCGTTTACAGCTGAGAAGACGCTACAGAACAGAACGAAACGTCGTTGTGACATTATCCGATTTCTTTCATCCGGACCCTTCTATTCCGTCTATTCTCGGTATCTCAAATCCTTCTCACAGATACAGTGCCTTCAGGCTTTTATCATGTCGAGTCTCTAGGCTTTCGACACATCCACAACTTGCACCCCTTGCGTCCCGTTCACAACAAGCTCCTTGTCTAGGGTAAAGGATTTGGCCACCTTGGACACATCCCGCACCTCGACGAGTTCGACGACCTTGTCGCCGTCCAGTGGCCCGTTGACAAGGACCCGCAACCCGTTCGCCATGTCTCCATCCGGTGCCTTCAGGCTCGGGTTGAGCGGCACAACGGCCCTGGGTCTCAGTAGGAGAGGCAAAGTGTCGAACCCGTGAGTCTCTGTGTACCATCGGCCTTCGTCGTATGTTTTGCCGTGGTCAAAGAAACTCCTCCACTTGGATGGGCTAGCGGTAGTATCCTGGCTCGAAAACGGAACGTAGAAGGTGACTTCTCCGGTCTTGTCAAACACAGGCGCGACCAAGAGCTCACTCCCGAGCATGTACTGCGTGTCCAGGTTCCACGTGTTCATATCACAGTCTCCAAACTCGAGGAACATGGGGCGCATGACGGGCGTGCCCTTGCGGTGGCCCTCGAGCGCCGTCCGCAGGAGGTACGGCATCAGGGCGAGTTTGCGTTCCACGCTCTCCTTTAGGACTTTGCTGCATGCTTCGTCCTCGCCGGGGTACTTGTGGGAGTCGTAGATCCAGGGCACGCGGTAGCTCGAACTGCCGTGCAGGCGCGAGTGGCTACCCAACAGCCCGAACTGCACCCACCGCTTGTACAAGGCCGGGTCGGGCATGCCCTCGAAGCCGCCAATGTCGTGCGCCCAGAAGGCAAAGCCCGAAAGCGCGAGCGAAAGGCCACCACGCAACGTCTCGGCCATAGCTTCAAACGTGCTCTCGCAGTCTCCTCCCCAGTGGACCGGGAACTGCTGCGCGCCGGCTGCCGCGGACCGCGCGAAGAGACAGGGCTCCTTTCCCTTGAGCTGCATCGTCTCGTATACCGTCTTGTTGTACAGGTACGCGTAGAAGTTGTGCATGCGCACCGTGTCGCTACTGTCGTGGTACCTGACCTGGTGTGGGAGGAACGGGATGCGTTCGCCGAAATCGGTCTTGAAACCGTCGATGCCCATGTCCATCAGCCTCGTTAATTGCGAAGCATACCAACTCCGCGCGGCCGGATTCGTGAAGTCCACCACGGCCATGCCCGCCTGCCAGTTATCCCATTGCCAGACGGTCGGCCGCGGCGTGTCGGCGCGCATGATGAAGTAACCGTTCTTTTTACCCTCGAGGAACAAAGGAGACGCCTGTGCGATGTATGGGTTGATCCAGACGCACAGTTTCATCCCGCGCTCCTTCAGGCGGCGCAGGTAGCCTGTTGCATCGGAGAAGTTTTGGTCGTCGAACTGGAAGTCGCACCATTGAACTGCCACAATTCACCGTTAGTGTCCTGATCGTCCTGCACCAATATATACAACTACACAGAGCCGCTCAACGCCGACGGGATCAACAAGAGCAGTCTAAAGGTGGGGAAGCAGGGAAAACACACATACATGATTTCATCCAGAACGAGTCGAAATGGAAGACGCTCAACGGGATGTCTCGCTTCTTGAACCCGTCGAGGAACGAGTTGACCGTCTGCTCGTCGTAAGAAGTCGTGAATGATGTTGTGAGCCAGAGCCCGTACGACCAGGCTGGAGGCAGGCCCGGGCGACCGGTCAGGGCGGTGTAGCGGTCTAATATGTCTTTGGGGGACGGGCCCGCTATGACCATGTACTCGAGGCTCTCGCCCCGAATAACAATGTTGACCCGCGTGGTCCGCTCCGACTGGACCTCCAGCATGACTTTGCCCGGGTTGTTGATGAAGACGCCGTAGCCCCGACTGGACAGGTAGAATGGGATGCTCTTGTAGCTCAGCTCGGAGCTCGTCCCGCCGTCCTCGTTCCAGATGTCGACCGTCTGGCCGTTCTTTACGAAAGGGCCGAATCGCTCGCCCAGGCCGTAGATCTTCTCGTGCACACTGAGATCCAGCTCCACGAGCATGTAGTTGTCCTGCTGCGCGTACATACCCTCTTCGATTCGGTATCCGGGCGTGTCCGAGGACGACACTACCGCGATCGAGCGGAACGAGTGCCCCGTGAGTCGTTTCGAGTGGCACGAATAAGTGAATGCCAGCTGATTGGGGGCTGTGTTTATCGACAAGCCCAGCGGTGCACTCGAGTAGTCCAGCGCCCGTCTCCGTGAATGGCTGATCTCCGGAGTTGGCGACGTCTCGAATAGAGGGAAATGCGGCCCTCGATCCTCCTCGCCAGTCCAATGTGTGAAGGTAGCCGCGATGACACCTTCGAGGGGCGTACGAATCCGAGCAGAAACGGTGCCCACGTTGAGCGTGTCGCCCCGGCCGTTCTGCGGCTTAGTGAACAGGAGGTCGACGGCGTTGTTTTCCTCGCTGACATGAAGCCTCTCCACGTTTCCCATCCAATTGAACGAGATCCCGGACCGGGTCCGCCACATGCCCTCTGTGAATTTCATATTGTCGGACGATATACTTGGGTTGCTGCAGCTTGGGAAGAAACCACCGGCCGTTCACCTGAACTTCCCAGAGGGCAAGTTTTCGATTGTTCAAGGGATGACCACAAAAGGGCCTAGTTAGAAGTTAAATGCTCTCTGGTAGAGACTCGTAACTCTCGGTCCTGTCCATCGCATTATTAGTTGCCAGTCTTGACGATGAAGAATTTCCAGGGGACATGAAAGTCGCGGGTGGCTAATAAGGGACAAACCCCGGAGGCAGGTGTTCAGGAAGTGGTTTAAGACGCTGTCAGACAGCAAACTTCGCCCACAGCAGGCAGAGAGATGGATCCATGTCAGACAACTTGCGTTTATTGTCGGCTCTTCGCGAGGCTTTTAGGCAAAAATCCTTTGCGTGTGAGTAGGTTGGAGGACCCGCAGTAAAGTACCTACCCTACATAGCTATCCTGCTAAGCGTCGCCCAATAGGAGTTTAGAGGGGGCTTCCAAAGAAATTTGCCAAAGTTCAGACGTCGTCACTTCAATCGACAAAAGAGGTACATGCGTTTCAGCTGTGCTACTCTCTCAGCATCGGTCGTGTGATTCTTGGGCTGGATAGGCCAGAAAATACACAATGCATTGGGAGCTTGAGAAACGCTGGTCGAATGCTTGTACAGTTTTTCGATAAACTGATTGACAAAGAAGCCTCAGCTATGGTCGAGCTGCTGCGTCTGGTAGCCCAACACCGAGTTCGGCTCACAGGAGTAGAAGAGGAGGCTGTATACCCGACACGCGATGACAAGGACTTAATGGCCTGGAAGCTAACGTACTTGCCCGTCAGCAATATCATCAGACTTCCACTTCATCACGCCCCTACTGCACTCTGAAGCCCCCGTGCCCGAAGATTTTAGCACCGGAAGACATCCCCATCTGCCTTGGGCATTTGCAGGTAGTGCTGACTAAGATCCTTGACCAACACCCATCCTATCTTCTCAACCCGGGCATAGTTGAATGGCAACATTTCATCAAGACACTGTTTCTTGTCGTGCGCCTCAAGGCTTGCCTAATCTCTTCAGATCATGCATCCTCCAGGACCAGTTTTCCGACCATATCACCAACAGCTACGACCCCACTCACACTGCAGTACGTTGAGTAGTTCTAGCCGCGACTGCGTGAGCTCCAGACCGCAGCAGAGACGACGGTCGTTTTGAGCGCGACAAAATTATTCTACTAGATAGAGCATATCCTTGAAGTGGTCAAGAGACGCACATTGGCGCCGGAGAAGTCCTCGTTGCCACAGGGACCCTATCAAGGGAGTGAATGAGGAATCCGCCTGAATTAGTCAACTCCATCTATAATCAGGATGATCCTGGCGCCCCGGACGTCGGTTCGCTCGCAGGAACGAGGTTCCACAACCGAGGACTTTTGGTCGGAATTCATGTTAGACTGGTTGAATTGGCAGCCAAGCCTTCTAGGAGTGGTCGGTTCGTCGACGGTAATCAGGGATCGAGAAAGTAATTGTTCAGATACAATATTCATGCAAATTCGAGGTAGAGTCCTTGTCTAGTGGCTGGACGTCGCTGGCGGCGCAACCATGGAGAAGCGTCAGAGTTCCGATGTCTGAGATGGAAATAGAACTCATGGACATCGACGAGCGAGATCTCAGGTTTCGCCTTTGCTCTTTTTCCTCAGGAGTAAGGTCGATATGGATCAAGCAGACTTAACCGTAGCTGTGAAAGGCAGAAGTAATATTTTGGCCTTTTCCCTTCGAACTTAGAGGATGTTTTCCCACCGCAGAATATCATCTAGCCTGACCATCGACACACGGAGGAAAGGAACTTCCTTCCGATTCGAGAGACATCGATGTGCTTGCCGCAGAAGCTTCTCATCGTCATCGATCTCATCTTCTGAGGCGTGCAGGGTGCTCGAATGTACCAGTGCCAGAATCATCGCCATGGCGAAATACCCTCTCAAAGCCAAATGCGCAATCAAGGACGTCTGCGTCAATATTTCTTCGCCGGCTTTCAAGAAAGCCCGAGAAGCGTTTACACATTCGCGCAGCCCTTGCTCAAGACTCTGGGCATCCGGGATGTCAATGTCGTATTCTGGAGTGATTCCGGAACCCGGACTCGCCACCAAAAGTGGCCATCAGACCATCGTTCTGTGAATGAAGTACTGGCAGCGTAAGCGTGCTTTTCGAACATCGAATATCCAATCATCGTTCAGGGGAAATTTCACAGGGCCCGGTAGGTTCTGATACCAGTCGTCGAGTTGTCGTGTAAGCGCGTTCGCGATAACGGCGCCGTAGCTGCCGGACGGCGGACCTAGAGACAAATTTCATCAGAATTGGGACCACTTAGAGAAACGCCTGCTTGAAAAGACCAGGCCTTGCTCGGGGCATGGAGAACCCTTTAAGCTTATTGCTATATCCCACGCTTTCATTGATGTCCACAGAGATCTTTCGAAACGAGATCAGTGACAATAGGTAGTACATGCCTTCTTCGTCATATTGACTCGTCGGGAGTGGCACCTTTGTTTCGTAGGCACGCTGCCCACTTGAAGGGAGATCAAGGCACAGCTCTAGTTCACTGTTGCAGAAGGTTTTGTGAGCCACAAGGCATGAGAGGAGCAGATGGTTAGGTGAGGATGATCTCAAACCTCTCAAGAATAAAACAAATTCAAAATAAGCGGCTGAAGCTTTCCCTATCTTGTACTGTTTCTCGATCGATTCCAGCTCGAAGTAAGACAATGCAATCTCGTGAGACCTGCGACACATGTTTCTGTGCCGGCAAGGGCTGGATGCTGAATATAAAGTAAATCCTAGTATTCGAGTTATTCAGTGGCTCTTCAGTCATTTCGGCAGCCAGAGAGGTCCTCACGCTGCAAGGAGGCCACATTGCAAAGTGACAATGTCTATCACTCGACCTTGCAATCTGTCAAGGATCGCCATTGCTCGGGAGAAGTAGGCAAATCCAGGAAGGTCTTCGGACGAGGCCGTGTAGAAGGAGGTGCTTAGAGCAGCGGAGCCGATCGCGAAGATCAAAAGGGCCAAGGCCACACAAGGAGTGGCCTCGATGCCGTTCGCGGTCGAATATGGGGAGATACTTGAAGACGTTGTCCATAAAGGCCTGTTGGAGCCTCAAGAGCCGAGACCGCGACAGGTCCATGGGTGGAGGGGGAAGTTCGAGGACTTGGGACATTGCGCGCATCGTCCCGATGGAATGCGAAAAGATATCTGCCTGTAGGTCGTAAGACCAGCAGCTCCACTCTGGGATTTTCAAATTCTCTGGTATTCTGGCTGACTAAACTGTCGAGGACAGACTCGACTTTTGCGAGGCGATCTCGAATCGTTGCCAATTCATGGCGCTCTCTTCTCGGCGAGGTTTCCCCTCTTTGCGATCTCTCGCCATGCTCAGCTCTAGAGTAAACACATTCGATGTACAAGTCCTCGCACAGAGAGCACGTAGGTCTTTTACCATTACAGCGTGTCTTCCTTATTCGGCAAATGTCACACTGCCATGAACGTCAGCAGAAATATCATACGCACACTGTTTCAGTGACCGGCGTACTGCGATCAGTGCTCGCCTTCTCGGGTAACTGTGTGCCTTGTTGCTCAAAGGGTTGTTGCGGTTAGACCAGAATGCCGTCACACTGTGTCTGTGTTGTGCGGTGAACTTACCATCTCCATCCCTCTAAGCCGCCGATCCCATCCATTTTCTGGATGGCAAAGGCCAGAAGTCCAGAAAATGCTCCGGTCAGAGACCCGGCGCAGAAGAAAACTCCGACCCGAGTTTGGATCTCATGACGGGTATACCAAGTGGTGATCACGTACGTTGATGCCGGGAAAAATCCTGCCTAGTCCATGGTTCAGCAAGCTGATAAATGTCTTTGTCCCTCATCGGACGATATGAGGGGGTGGGATAGATACCTCAGCAAGCCCCAAGAAGAAAAATCGCGTTGCAACGAGTCCGCCAAAGTTCTGCACAACGCCCATTAAAGTCATCACTGTGCCCCAGGCCAGGACGATGATAGGGATCCAGATCCGTGGGCGAAGTATTTTGAGGACAATGTTGCTGGGGACCTCGAAGAAGGCATAGGAGAAGAAGAACACCGTCAGACACAAGTTGTATTGACCGTCCGAAGTTGATTACGTAAATGGCCATCAAGCCTCTGTCTGATCCACTGATTCTGTCTATCCATTCATTCAGCGAGTTCCTTCCTGTTGTATAGATATTTGGCCTGTGCCACATAAGCGCTTCCTAAAGATACCTCGTAAGGCAAGCAAATATCCAGTCTGGCTGTATCAAGTGGTTTGACAACGCCTTTATAAACGAAGTCTACTACGAGAATCGCTATAAACGCCACTATTGTGTCTACTACCGTTCCCGCTTGGTGATCTAGGCTAGGCTAGTGGCATGGTTGACGACGAAGGTCGAGGTTGCCTACCTAGCAACTTGGCCGTCTACAGGTTGAGATTAGACTATGCCTCAGAGTATCTCGAGCAAAGTGCCTTTTCTTCAAAACCCCAGACTCGTAATAAGTTGCTTATTACATCGCTAATTTACTTTTTCCTGCCAATAAAGCTTTTCCTGTGGGATATGATTCCCTCTGGTACGATTTTCGCAGATCACCAGAATGTCCCCGGACTCAAAATCCTTCTGCCCATAAGGAACGACATCATTGAAGTTGCAATGGGGCGGGGGACTCTTGCAGTGCAGACGGTCTATAGTTGCCTTGTAAAGGTGATAATTGACCTTTAGAGCTGGCCAGCACATGAGCGAAAATACCTCGGTTTCAACCACAAGTCCCTTTGGCTGAGATTTGGACCAGAAAAGGAACGATCTTTACAGTATTGGTTCATTCTGTATGCTGACTATTTATCCAGCATGGTTATCTGACAGAAAAATGTGTTGACAGCTTTCAAGTGTATACTTGGTAGATCTAGACGGCCTTCAAATCCTCCCTCTCTCAAGAAACTTGTCCGGCACATCGACCCATCTGCATCTCAAGAACTCGGAAACGTTCTTGCCCAGTATATCCAATGTCTTGCTGCAGCTCGCACCGCGGTCCAGATGATTATGCAACAAAAAATGCACGCCTCTCACGTTAGGTACCTCGAACCGGTCGATTTTACCACCCTTGTACTCTTTGCCGAGTAGTTTCTTGATCTTCTCAGTGCCAAGAAGCGCCCGAAGCCAGTTGTATTCATCGTCATGACGAACCCAGAACCCCACGTTCGCATTGGAGCCCTTGTCGCCCGAGCGAGCGTGAACAACAGAACCAAGTGGCGCTCGCGTGGTATTTCCGTAAGATGAGACAGAGGCAATGCCCGAGGTGATCTCGTTGCTAGGTTGGAATTTGGAATACTCCTTCGTTTTTGCAGGTGGTGAGATTTCAATGGACTTCCCGTCATGCAGATGAGCGATCTGTCGGACAGACGACTGTGGCAGGAGCGTGACGAAGTACTCAAAGATTGGTCGAGGTAAAGTCGTGCGGAAGTCGGGATAGAAGGTCGCGCCAGGATAAGACTCGATAATAGTGTAATGGGAGAAGTTGGAAGTGGTGGATAGCGTTATGATTGGCTGGGGCGCCGACCCTAGACTATGGTTCTTCTTATATAGTTCTGGGGGACTATCTTTCATACAATAGACAATCAACCAAGTAACCAACAGAGAGGACTTCCCCTAGTTGAGTGTGCGCGTTGGGAAGAGGCTATACCCACCGCCGTACGAGTTGATGCCCATGGCTAGTAGCCTCGCCCCAGTTCAATAGGGTCGATACAAGGCCTGTAATCTGGTCAGGTCTTTGCGCGGAACAAGGGTACGAACGCTCGCGGAAGATGAAGGTGAGTTACCTCATAAAATTTACCTCAGAAAGCGCTTCCTCCTTCAGTGCTTGAGCGACAATACAGAAGTCGACTGTCGCAGCAGATTGATTATCTGGATCTTCCGGCACTCTTCCAATAATTTTAAAGTCCAAAACCGTGAGATCCTTGACCCTGTCGCCCATGCAAGTGCGGATTTGAGCTTCCAACATCTCCGCTTTGGCTTCGATGTCCAAACCCACCAATGCGTAGTGAACTTCTGCTTGGAACCCTCCATTTGCAGTGATACCAACCTTAGTGGCTGGTGGGGGAAGATCGGACTTCACGCCAGACAGAGCCACACGATCAGGGCCGATTTGCTTGAAAGCGACTTCATCGATAATGGCGGTGACATCCGAGTTGTAATAGCGTGGCCCTTGGATCTCATAAAGAAACTGCGCAGTGCAAGTGTCGACAGATATGATGCCACCCGTCCCTTTCTGCTTGGTGATGATGACCTCGGCGGCGCAGCTAATTTCAGCTATTGGAAAACCCAGATCACTGCAGGCACCTCTCAGAGACTTGAAACCACTGAAGCAGCCTCCAGTGACATAGGTCGAACACTCAATAAGGTGGCCTGCGATCAGAGAATTTGCAAGTTGGTCATAGTCTGCATTTTTCCAGCCGTGCCACCAAATCGCCGGCCCCATTATAAGTGAAGCATCGGAAACGCGACTGCATAGGACAATATCCGCACCAGCTGAGAGCGCGGCGGCGATGCCAAATGGGCCAAGGTAACACTGAGCGTACAAGGGTTCGAATTTCCAGTCGTCCAGAATTTCTTGTGTACAAATGTTTTCGAATCGAGCTTTCTTGGAAGCCCGCAATTCGTTGATGACATCCAAGACCTCATCGCCCTCAATCCAAGCAACTTTTAGAGAGAGTCCCTTTTCCTTAAGCAGCGACACTACGGTTGTATGCAAGAGCCTGGTGCCAGACGCCCCGGCGTCTACGACAACCTTGATGCCGTGCTCGGCGATATGAGGAAGCGCTGGCTCGAGTGCTTCCAGAAAAGTCGGTTCGAAACCCGCCCGACCTGCAGGTTTTGTCAGCCGGTCAGAATGAACAAAGACGGAAATGTTGTTGGCTGTGCGGAAGAGACGGGAGAAGCAGGCGAACCTACCCTCAGCTTTGCGAGCTGCAGAAAATATCATTTGGCCTCCGACATCCAATCCCCAATGATCACGTCCACCTCATCGTGTGGGTGGTTTCTTGCCAGAGTTTCGAAAGCATGCCTGCGATCTGTCACCGAAGCAGATCCACCTTTCAAACTCCGCGTCAGTTGATGTACTTAAGGCGAGAAGAGTTTACCAACAAGCAATTCTGATCGGCCTAAGGCTGGATGAAGGCCTCTTGCAGTTGTCCGGGGGGGTAAAGGTTAGAGCTCAACGTCTTCAGTGTACTCTTGATGTGACTTGCTGTGCGGCATGTGTAGCGAGGTTCGTCTCACGGGAGACTCCTGGGTAATCACCTTTATACGTATTCTCCCCGCATCTCTTCAGGGCCGCAAAGTCCCCATGCGGAGTTGATCTCTTCGCGAAGAGAGCGAGGTGCGGCATCGCAGGATAGAACTATCTTCCTCTACGCATAATCCTGCCCCTAGACTTCCGAGGCTGGCCCGAGGATCGTATGCAGGGGGCTGCCGGCTGTGAATGATATCCTCCATGCACCGCAACATGGCCTTCTCTCTTGTAAAAACGTCGCTTGTCAGCAGACGAGCATCCAAGTCTGCGGATATCGGGAAAGTAAAAACAAAAAAAACCCGAAACGACTGCGTGGGAACACCTTGCTCCCACACGAAGCCGGGAGCGAGTTGCCGAGTCACGGCCCCGTCAATGGCACCAGATTATTCTTCAAGCACGTTCACCAGGGCGCTGAAGGAGAAACATGAGCATTTGAACAATATCTCGATAAATATTCAATATAGAAGTTCTTCAACAGCGTCAGCGATCTGATCATCGAGCCAACCTCCAGGACTCGTTAATTTATAACCTTAAATCAAAGATAAATGCGAGACCTGGAAACTTACACCTTCAGACCAACACCTCACGTGTCCAACTCTTCTCTCCCTGTGCTGATATGTCCAAACGTGATCACGTCAACTTCCCCAGACAAGACATCATCGGCCTCGGAGTCAGCCACCGCCTACTCCGTGCGCACGCAGATCGAAGCGAACAAGTGATTCAGGGGTGGTTGAGTTTAAGCCCTACCAGATACACCACTTCCACAGCGTGACGCATGAGTGTTCCGCCGTGTTTCTTGAGCGCAGTCGGCTGTTGCTGGGAAGTGAGCAGTTGGATGAGAACGCGTAGGGAAGAGCGGTTGACTAGGGATTGGGGGATATTTATCATTGTCCTGCCCGTATGTATTCTATGCCGTCGTCGGAGATGAGGCGGATAGCGGAGTAGATGGTGGAGTGAGCAGGGCTTCCCGGCCCAAGCGAGCGGGCTGGCCTATCTGGAGAGATCCAAGAGGGACTACGCTGATGTCTTTTTCAATGCAGGCTGGAGTGTCATTGCTGTCTTGTCTCTGAGGACGATTACACGCGGCGTTGACAAGACTTAAGTCATTTTGACTTTAGTCTTTCAGGGCTATAGTCCTGGAGGACCTAATTCAGGCTCGTCGCTGTGAATTAAGTCTTGATACTTGGTATGCTTGGCGTGGGAATCAACATAGCGGTCAAGGGTTGAGATGACTATTTTATTAACAAATTATATGCGAAAATATGGGACAATATTCAGCCTCTGATACAGAGTGTTCTGTTGGGCGTGGCACAACTGAGCTGTGGCATTTCCTGACCCGCCAGCTTAACCAAACTAAATTGGAGCAAATAGTATGCTGTGGGTCATGAAACTTCCAGTTGGTTGGATTCGACCTTTGGGGCGGAGAATACCTCGTACTTACCGAGGTTAAAACAAACTCCACCTACGAGTGATCGTGGTCATGGAGAATAAAGTCGAGCTTCCACCTCATGGGTTGACAGGGAGATATTTGAAACCTGCCCCCTAAGTTGTCTTTGCCATTTTGCCATTGCCCTGCGGTCTCTGCGTTGCATCAAGTTCAGATACAAGATATTCTGCACCAGATCAGGGACGAAATCCTGGCCGAGTTAAAGAAAGTCGGATTTGTCACTATCACCTGTGGTCACAATGCTGTCTCCTGAACAAGAAACCCTCAAATCTACATTCATATCTCAGGGTGGTATTTGGTCGTCGTCGTGGGAGAATGTCCTTTCCCTGGACCCAGGGTACTTCTCTGTCTACCTCAAGTTACGTTCGATCCCTCTACGTAATCAAAACTTGTCGCGCAAGGCTCAGGAGCTCATCCTCCTCAGCATAAGTGCATCCTGCACCACCATGTTCAGCCCAGGCATTCATGCCCACACTGAGGCAGCCTTGAAAGCCGGCGCGACGAGGGACGAAATTTTGGAGGTCCTTGAGTTGTCTTCTGTCTTGGGGATCCACGCAGTCAACGTCGGCGTACCTCTTCTCAACGAAGTTCTGCAGGAAGAAGGGATTATCGACAACATTCCAGTTGACAAGCTCGATGCCGAGCGCGAGAAGCTGAAATCCGATTTCATGTCCAAGCGTGGTTACTGGCATTCAAGCTGGGATCCAGTCCTCCAACTTGATCCCCTTTTCTTCGAAGCCTATACCGAATTTTCATCTTATCCATTTCGTACTAGGCAGGATGCAAAACAGTCAACGAATGACACCCAGCTGTGTCGTGGCCTTGATCCCAAAATGAAAGAACTCATTTATTGCGCCATCGACTGTGCTACGACGCATCTTTATGTGCCTGGGTTGAAATTGCACATCCGCAATGCCGTCAAATACGGCGCAAAACCAGAGGAGATCATGGAAGTCTTTGAGCTATCTAGTCTGATGGGTGTGCATACAGTGATGGTAGGAAGTGATGTATTGGCTGCTTTAGCCCACTAGTATTTGTTGGGCGAAATCCAAACTGAGGATTGGTCGGCTCTCGCGCACGAAAAGAGACCGTATTCTCCAGCTATTTTCCAGAGATAATACCTTGAAAGTCATACTCGTATCCATGACCTGTGACGGTCAGGGGCTTGACCTTACTGTGTCAAATCACACCCTTCTGATAGAACCCCAATGGAATCCCTTGCTTGAAGAACAAGCCATTTCTAGGTTCATCGATTAAGCCAGAAAAAACCAGTCACTGCCGTTCAGTTCATTGTGAAAGGCACTTGGGAAGAAAGGACCTTGACAGTCCAAGAGCGCCAGAGAACTTGAACGGACTTGGAGATTGATCGGGCGCAACTAACGGCTGAAGATAAAAGACTTCAGCTCTGGGTAAGCTATATTTCTCGGTTATGCACATCAACGAGACTTCAGCTAACTTATAGCAGCAACTTCAGGAGCTAGTTAGGTAGCCTGAGATCCATCTGACTGGCAACAGAACCACGATTCTCCCCTCCGTTCAGTCCTTCTTTTCCATGTAAGGCAGACACGCCTCATAAATCTCCCTAAAGCCAGGGTATTTGACATTTCGTTGGAAGACACCCTCGTCCACCACTCTCGCACACTGGAGGGACCCTGCAATGAAGAAGTCGGTGTAGCTCGGCTGAGCACCCAACACAAACGGTCCATCGGCCTTGTGTGTCTGCATCAGCTCGCCAACAGCGCGCATGCCGTCGCTTACCGCGTCCCAGCTCTGGTCCTCCTTGTCTGGATCGAGCAAGTCTTCGAGCCGGTGCCCTAGCGAGGCCTCGCGTGTGCGTCGGAAGTACTCCTGCGAACGAGGGGACAGAATGTTTATCTCGCGCGGCATCGTCGACGTGTAGAAGACCTTGCCGATCACGGCACGTGCTTTGGCCTCGATCTCACTACCCAGCTCCGACGTCAAGGGAACCGGCGGATCCGGATACGTCGACTCGAGGAACTGCGCGATTGGAACCGAGTCCATCATGTACGTGTTGCTCGGCACGTGCTGAATTGCCGGGACAGTATATTTGATCTTGGATCCTGCGGCGGATTCGCTGGGGACCAGGCCGCTGGAAGAAGTTTCAGGTTAGAGGTAGCTTATCCACGCGCGATCAGAGAGTTTGGACCTGTGCATTTAGGGCATATAAGAGTGCAAAAAGGAACGGGGCGGGAACGGGACCAGAGGGGGAAAAGGGGAGACCGAGGTGCCAAAGGAGGGCGAATATGATCGCAACTCACAGCCCTTTCAACGTGGGCTCGATATCCGGAAATTCGAGGAAGATGGTCCTGTATGGGATGTGCTTGTAGTTGAGCATGAGGCGGATGCGCCACACGACGGGGGAGAAGCAGACGTTCTTGGTACAGGCCAGGTCGTACAAGATGATCTCGGGCTCGGTTTGGGCTGCCATGTTGTGTGACTCGTAACACTCTAATGAAGACTGGATGGACGAGATGAAGCACAATTGTAGAGGTTTTGCCGTCAATCAACTGTCCGTCAGTGTATAATAAATATTCGGTTGAACTTGGTTGCGAACCTTGGAGGGATTAAGAGACGTTTTGAAATGCGAGTACGCTTCTGCTCCGCCGAAAAGCCAGGCCGGTCCGGTATCCGCGCCTACCAATCACCTCTTCGATTGAAGCTGCTTACGAGAACCAAGTTCCGAGTACTTCAAGCTGGCGGCCCGTTGATCTCAGTGAGTGGTGGCCCCTGCACGCCCCGTGTGGGCCGACCCGTTTGCGCATTCGTGATTCGCATGCATGTGACAAGACTAGGGAGTAAGCGCTCCTTCGGCGGCCCTGGAGTTCTGCCTGGGCCTGGTAGCCTTCTCTCTTTGCTCCTCACTCTTGACAAAGTATTGATACATGGCAGCTCAGACCCGCCAACCTGATACCAAAGATACGTTACGAGCCTACTGAGATGAGTGCGTCTGAGTATTCCACATACACAAAACACACACACACAAAAAAAAGCGAAATCCCAGCAAAAAGGCCCTCAATCATAAGACAAATTTCTCAGTGTCATACTCGTAAATCCACGACACACCAGCCTTCTCCCCCCTGAGCAGGAAGTACGCCCACATAACCCACTCCTTGACGAGTTGTTGGAACGTGCTCGCCGAAGATTTTTCTCATATCACCTCCCTTGGAGGTGAAGGCGAGGATCTTCTTCACACGGTCTTTCCTGGCGCTCTGCCATTGTGTAAGCAGGTCTTGATGAGGAGCCGACTCCTTTTTGTCGAGAAGGGCTAGGGTGTTGGCCAAAGTGAGCGCATCCTCAAAGGCCATCGCTGCACCCTGTCCGCCGGTTGGAGGCATGGCGTGGGCCGCATCGCCGATGACGAATACCCTGCCAGAGCTGCTTGACCAAGAGCTGAGCTCGGGAACTTTGTAATAACTATTTCTCAAGCATCAGCCTTCGCCCAGTTTTCTGGGTCGTCGGTAGAAGATCCACTTACGGCCATAGGGAAAGTGAGGCTAGGTCGACGCTTTTCGAGGCGACATGGACAACGTCAGGCCACGTCTCGTTCTCGTGGTGGGACTGCAATATCTTGTATAGAGCGGACTTGTCATTTTGGAGCTCAGTCCATTCCTCCCGGCTCTGATCCTCGCCCTCGACGGTTGCGAAGCAACTAACACGATCCCCATTGTATGTGCAGGGCATAAACATGAAGGAATTCAACTTGCCCAATATCAGACACGGCATGTACATTTCTTGCCCTGATTTTGGCAGCTTGGATTTGGGAAGGGAGCCGCCGACTCCAAGTTGGCCGCTAAATGTGGGAGCTGCGTTGGGGTCGAGGTGGCTGCGGACGCGCGAATGGATCCCATCGGCGCCAATCAAGAAGTCGGCTTCTTCAATGTGCCCGTCGGCAAAGGTTGCGATGACCGTGGAATGGTCGGTCTCTTCAAACTGCACGCATTTTGCGTTAAAGAACAGCTCAATCTGTTGCTCCTGAAGAACATCCAGCAGTGTCTGCCGGACAATACCCCGAGATATCCGGAGTGCTGGATATCCATATTTTCGCTGGCTGCCATTTAGTACCGTTGCGATGCGGCTCAGGTTTCTGGACGATAGAAATTGGAACTCCTCATAGTTCCAGCCCTGCGTCCTGATTCGACCATAGACTCCGATCCGATCGAGTGCGCGGAGCGCATTGGGAGCGAGGGCGACAAAGCCGCCATCAAAAGCAACCTGGTCGCGCAGGTCGAAGACTTTACAGGAAATATTATGTCGCTTGAGTACAAGGGCCATTGTCGGCCCCGCCAATCCACTTCCAATAATGATAACTTTCATGGTCCCTTCTTGTGTCAGACTGCAACCGTGAATCGAAAGCGTGCCCTCTGGAATTTTAACCAGCTCCCAAATCAGCCATATATACACATATTCGACTTACCTTCGGTCTCATGACAAGTTCAACATGTTGCAGGCTATGAAGATTAACCCGAAAACAGGCCCTTGACCACTACCACCACGGCCGATAGGGTTAAGAAAATACGTCACAAGCATGCCAAGCACCAGGGAGACAAACATTAGCGCCAAATGGAGACATCAGCCACAGCTGAAAATACTTGTTAGGTTCTGACCATCTTACATATCATGGGACGGGTGCTTCCTTAGGTCATCGCAGTGAGGTTTTTCGTTCAGCTCAAGAAGCAAGTTGCGAGCCCAGAAAGACCTGGCGAGCTGGCCGCACGTGACCGACTGAGCAGCTCGCCGCTTTACTCACCCTCGGCACACCTTCTATTTCCAAAGCCTTCCCTAGGCCTTGATAATTCCTCGTCCCCAACACCCGCTTTGGTCAACTCCAGACGATGGAATCCATTTGGGATGTTGGAAGTTCCCAGTATGTTTTGGTCCTCTCAACTCGAACCAAGGCGTTGTCCATTATGATCATGCCTTTCAGATGCAGCACTGTCAACCGCAAGGTTTGGGCGCTTTTCCGAGGGAATGTCGAAAGTCCGAGATATCGGCATTGCAGAGTTCAGCCACAGTACCTGACTCGGCAATGCCAAGGACTATCAGCAATAGTCCTACCCCAACTCGCCCCGTTTGCCGAGTCTTGGAAATTCCACGCCGAAAGTCTAGCGTGTCGCATGTCGAGGCATCCGTCGTCTTCTGCAGAACGGCGTAGCGATCACATAGGCATGATCAGAAGGGCAGCCTTGCCCCAAAAGAGGCAGCCAATTAGAGGGGAAACGCTCTGTTAGCAGCCGCAACCAAGCTCATTTTCCATTCCAGACATACCGCTCTTCTTCGGAAGACAGGTTTGGTGGCATCTACCTGGGGACATATTGCGTTGTCAGAGATTGCAAAGGTTATCTGTGAAAACCGAACAAAGGAAAGGGCGCCCTGATCGATAGCAGATGCCGAAATTTCGCAGTGGGAGATCGATCTATCCATAGTGTTTCGTGTGGAATATCTTGCTGCTGACCTTCAGATCTCGCAGTTTCGGCTGGTTCAAAGCGATCTCAGCAATTGATCTTCCCTTCGCAGTGCGTAAAAGAAGTCTAAGTTCGCCCGGTTTCGGGCCTCAACGGACGCATAGTATATGTTGTTCGGTACCAGTGGCGAGCATTCGAAGATAACGGCATCTGAGTGCCCAATAGCTCAAAGCGTGCTCTAATGTCCGCCTGGCATATGGGTTCAGATTTACCTTGAAACATGATCTAGTCGACTTCTACACCTGGAAACTGCGACATCGCGGCGAAGTCGATGCCGTCCACTAAGGGCACTTCAGCGGCCCATTCCCAGTCCGGGAAGGCATTAAGGGTGTCAAAGTCAAGTACTGGGCCGGGAAGGGTCGATGCATTACGCGCCGAAGGCGTGGTTGAAACTCCTGGTTGCGGAGAATGCTCAATGAAGACTGAGGGTGATACCCAATGCGTGGCTGGTTGTTGGCCTTCGGTAAATGTTTCAGCTTCATCATCATCTGCTTTGTACGGATTCGCTTTCCAGTTGCCGAAGGTTGCTCTCCAGTGCCAGAAGGTGTCGAACATGACGCTCGCAAACTAATCACATCAATCAGACTGGATCGGCAGCCGTCTTCCACGTACACTCAACACTTACGAGTCGACTTCTCATGCGCAGACGGTCGCCTATGAGAGTACCATCTCTCTTACAGAATACAGAATCGCTGGCCCAGAGCTGAGTCAAGATTATGGCACTCCTTGAGTCCAAGTCGTTGTTTTCAGCTGAGCGCTTCTTTGCAAACATGATGGCTTTGAAGTATGCGCTTTCCCCGTGCTCAACGTCCACATGGGCGCGAAGTTCGCTGCGGGTGATCTTCAGGATGCTGTGGGAGGCCATCATCAACATTCTGTGCACCCATTGAGTTGAATAGAGGGCGAAATCGTCAGCAATGTCAAGATCATGAAGCATGTCGAGGACGCTGCAGCACAAGGCGTATAATTGGACAAGCCCAGCAGTTCGTGCCGTATCGGGTGCCGAAAAGAAGTGGAATGCCCTGATACCCAAGCGAGTGCATTTCTGAACAAGGGCATCTTGGTAAATCAGTAGAACGTACACAGAATGTTGGTGAATTGACGTACCAATACCCACGTTGGAGGAAGGGACCAACGCTTTGACTTGTGCATCGAAAATGTCGATGAGTGAGTTCAAGGGTGGCCCGCAATTCGGCTCAAGGAGTTGCGTGCTTTGGGTAATTGCTTGAATTGCGTCAGTTTGTACCTTATGAAGCCGGTACCTATAGAGTAATGACGGTGGAAGAGTGCGCTCTAGTAGTAGATCGGATTCCAAATTATTCAGTTCGGATGTCGTCCAGCATGGAAAGCCACCAACTAGGTTCATGCTGCTGGCTGTCAGCCCGATGGGCAATTCTTCTCTCAAGAGGAGCTCACCTTTGGAACGTTACAACACAATGGATCCACAGACGAAAGCGCAAAGTCACCTCACTGTTCGCGGCATCGATGTTCTGACGCGAGTAGTCTTGCTCGCGACCAAATATATGGAGACCATTCTGCACAGCGAGTTGCATGGCAACCCCGGCCAGCATGTGTGAAGAATCTCGGAACATTGTGTTGGTCGGGACCGGCCACAAACACAGAATAAGGACTGCTTGAATAGTTGGAACAGGGTTGGAATAAGAGAAGAGTGCTCTTAACGCGATTTGTAGCACCTGAGACACCACTCGCTGGAAAAGAGTGGGATCATCAGCAAACCTGCGTGCCCCTGTCGCAACAATACACCAGAACAGAAAGGGAGATCGCTCGTAATATTGCTCAGGCGATATGCTGGGATCGAACAACCCAGGAATGAAAACCTCATAGTGTGCAAAGAAGCTGCTCTACGTAAGACAAATTGTTAGGAGGAACATAGCGGAAAGGAGACATACAGCACAAAACAATCATTGATCTTGCGTCGACCAATGTGGTCAATGTTTAATGTTGTCGGCGTGACTTGGAAGCTATCCGCCGCTGTCCCTGTCGATACACCTGGGGCATCAATAGATGGCGTATAGTCGTGGCCAGCATGGCTTGATATATCTGAAACCTGGCCGTCATGGCCTGCTTGAGAGCCTGATTGGGGTGGAAATGCAGGGGTCGTCGCTTTGGGGTTTTGAGGCGAAGGAGTTGTAGCACGAATCTCTGTCTTGCTCAAGGAGGATTTACTGCTTCGCAACTGCTCGTGAAGGCTAGCGTTTTCTCGGACCAACTCAGCTTTTCTGTCGGCTATGTTAGAGGTGGACTAGCACAGTCAAGGCAACAAGACCTTACGTTTTCCTCTGGCTTTTCTTGATCCCACGAGAGAGCTCACAGACTAGGTTCTTCTTCCTGCATCTCGTGCATGGTCTCAAGTAGTCGGTGCGGGCGTCGCATTTGAGCTGACACGAGGATCAGACACCGGTCTGCCGGCGATGGGAGCCAGCATGTTCTCACCTTCTGGATTCGACATTCGGAACATGATCGCACCCTCCCTAAGCCCTCCGCCATTGTCCAAAGCTTCACAACAGGTCACGCTTCACTATGAGGTACCAACATGTATTTCCAGCAGTCTGTTAATATATGAATGGTTCTGCCTCTCAGTAATATCGAGGATGACTTGGCATGTGGACGGAAACGGTGGGAATATGCATTGTGGAGGAGAATATCATAGTAATTATTGGGGTTGGAGCATACGAGTTACAAGTTTACTTGGCCCTCGGCCGTTCTCAAAAATACGCGGTGGAGAGCCGTGCACTAGTCCCCACTAGTCTCTGGGGTGCCCCGCTAAAAGCTCCACAATAAACTCTCCAATCCTGTTCTAGTCAGCCTTGCCAGCTAGCTCGCGAGCTGCATCCAACAGCGGTCCCTGCATACAATCTAGATTTTGTATCGGAACTGGGGGTGATAGTCACAGAGTTCTTCGAAAGTCTTGGAGTTATCTGGGTCCTGCTCTCCTCGTGAAATCAAGTCTTGGGCAATCTGATCTCGCTTTTTGTTCTCTCGCTTCATCAAGAAATAACTGATGGCCGCCGAGAGCGCACCTAACAGGTTGAGGCCTAGCAGAACGGCGTGGCCTTTGAAGTAGCGTGGCGAGTTGTCGTAGACTTGAGTAGCGATGATGCTGTAGCTCTGTGTAAAGACCTGTGCCACCGCCCAAGCAGTGCATCTTTTGGTGTAGCCGGCATGGCTGTTCACGAGCCAAGTAGCACAGACCACGATGGCAGGGTAGCAGCCTGCGGCTATGAAACAACAGCCAGCCACAAGGGCGGTTTTGTTGGTCGTGGCCAGAATAATAATAAAGCCGATCACAGAGACAGCCATGCAGATCAGGAACGGTATAGCTCGCTTGTCGATGCGGTCGGCCAAAATACATACTACTGGCACTGATACCGTGGCGAAAGCATAGGGGATAATTGTATACAACTGGGTGTCCACTATTGCTTGGTTAGCTCTTGTTTGTGACTCATGATTTGTCAGCGCCTTACATGCAGAGAAGCCGAACTGATGAATAAAGGTTGGCAGGAATGCCCCGAAGGCAGCGACATCCAAAGACGCGGCGGCGATAGCCATTGCGAGCAGCCAGGTTTTCGCATCCTTGAGCGCCCACCACACTTGGAACAATCGCGGCTTTGCGTCCGGCGTGTTACGGGCAGCAGCCGTTCGTTGAAGGATGAGTGCGTGTTCTTGGGGATCGCGGAAGAGAACGCTACCTCTCTTGGCTACCGTCTCCGGAAGCTTGGGTAGGAGGCAAATGACAAGTATTCCCCAAACGATCGTGAGAATGCCTTCGATCAAAAAGAACCATTCCCAAGCAGCTTTCCCTAGGTCGCCGTCCAAGTTGCGTTGAACGCCGTAGGCAATCAGTCCGCTCGTCGCGCCGGCGACAGGCGTAGCTAGAAAGTAAAAGGCTAGACTCAGTTAGCTGAGGCCAGGAACTCTTGGTCACAGGAACTGTACCAGCACGGGTTGTCACTTCCTCACGTCGGTACCATAATGAAAGGAAGACGAAACCAGTCTGTACGAAAGCTTCAGCGAAACCGAGGAGGACTCGAATAACCATGATCGGCGCATAGGATCTGACGGCTGTCATAGATGTGGCAAGGATACCGAAGATGATGACCGCGGTGCCATAGGCCCAATTCGGATGGAACAGACGCAGGCTCAGCGCCGCGGGTAGTTCAAAGACCAGATACCCAACATCTAGCTGTTCCTTAGCAATATGCTGGGGCAACACGCTGCACTCTGGTGCACTTACAGAACATCATCAGGCAGTTGTAGAACTGCTTACCACTTAAGCCAAGGTCGGTTTGAAACCCCATGATTCGAGCATTCCCGAGAGCGCCACGGTCCTTGTAAGATGTTTAGCCATCCAGGTCTCGGCAACGCACGCAGGACATACCAGGTAAGCGAACCAGTAACACCCAGCGAGCAGCACCACGATTGAGAGATCTTGCTTCAAGACCAGGCGCTTCTCCTTCTTGGTCTTATGGTGCACCACGTCTGCACCATCCACATCTGCATGCACAAGTTCTGCCTCGATAGCGAGTTCCTTCTGTATCGAAGTGGTATCCATATCTTTGGAAGAACGATCCATTGTGGGACAGGACGAAAATGCCACGGGTGTCTTGGGAAAGGGAGAGTGTCGACCTTGGTGTGAATATATAGTCGTCAATCATGAGTCGTGTAGCTTCGAGATAGAGTATGACCTGGAGCCTCTCGGCAACCCCAGGAAACGGGGAACGCATGACCCCAGGAAGGTTGGAAAGAGAGCATGTAGTGGAGCAATCTGTTCGGGTTCCACGCACTCCAGACTCCGGAATTCGGCAATGTAGGTCGAGCTCACTTTCGGTAGAGTTTCAAACTCCGAGATTTCGGCCAAAGCGGTCTGAATGACCTGCTGCTCTCCACACTCTGCCGCTCTCTGTATATTGTGAGTACACCATGCGGTCCAGGCTGAAACACTCTTCGGGTCCGGAGGCAATACCTGGTTTAAGCATCACATCCGTTCAACAAACACCAGCTTGGCTCCTCAGAAAGCTAGGCGATCGGGGTGGCCTCGGAGCTACCACGAGGCATTTTGAACGCCGATGACGGCTTCCCTTGTGATGAGAGTGCCAGATAGAAAAAGACCAGCCGTGGATCAACTGTACTGCGCACTCCTTGAGAAGCCTGCTGTCGCTTTTCTTCTGCTTCTTGTGTGAATGGGTCTCCTTCGCCATTAGCGCCAGCATGGGTGCACCAGACGTTAAAGCAGACGCCAGAAGGGTGTTCGAGGTGATCTCAGCCGGAGGAATAGCCATCATCCCGTCTTCCATGGGCTATGCTCTTGCAAGCTCCACCACCGAAGCATTAGAAAAGATGTTCAAAACCAAAAGACGCGGCGCACACAAACGACACGCGATGGGCGGAAACTATGCCCTCCACCAGGAGCTGCACGTTATGCAGCCTGAGCATGAAGAGATTGTTCGCTGTTTGACTCAGGACTTCGACCTACCTTTGGCAGTCATTGCAAAATACGACCAGGACCATCCAATGTTCAAGCACATCGACCAACCAACGATGGATGCACTCACCGTTGACGGAACCCTTGCTATGTTGATCAATGGAGGAGCGCTCCAGGATGAGCTCGCGAACCTCATGCGGGAAGCCAAGCTCCCATTGCTGGGTAGTTCTGCCAATATCTCGGGTACAGGTATTTCTCGTTCCAGAATTCTCTTCTCATGTCTGAGTGACTGACGGGGCGACACCAGGAACCAAGTATGTTGTCCAGGACATCAACCAAGAAATTCTTGACATTGCGGATATCGTGATCGACTATGGCCTCGTCAAATTTGGGTATCATGGGAGGAGCTCGACGATGATCAATTTCAGTGGACCAACACCAGAGATCGTCCGAATTGGAGTTTGTTACGATGTGATCAAGGACCATCTGAAGCGATTCTGGGATATAGAGATTCCTCCTGATCCCGGAATGTCGGCATTGCCTTCAGGACATCTCAAGACGCTCCCTCCATTGGAATCTTTGGAAAAACTGGTGGCGGTGCCCTGAATGCCTTTGACAACACTGTCAAGACCTGATAGGCCAAGGAGCAGTCAGACTCAGACGGCTTTCCGTCTCAGCCCGAACTAGTAGTCAGCCACATGCAAAGAGTGTTGATCGGAGGTCACGGTACAAGTTAGCCCACGTACGACAAGGCTGTGGGATTGCGATGGAAGTTCCTATGTCTCGTTTTCCTTGCTCCTCTGTGAATTAAAACTTAGATTGAAGCGGCTTTCACTCACCCTTGGGGATCAATCCGTATATGGCAATGAGACTTTTCGTTCGCGAGTAATCGGGGTACGGAGTACCAAGCGCTAAGTACCGAGGACGTGATTCATAGAGGCCAACTCCTATTATGTACAAGGTACAAGGTTCTCGGGGAATTTCACACCGTGAACCACTCGGTCACTCAAATCAATCATCTCTCTTTTGGGTTTTATCTGCCTCGCGAGATGCGCCTGACTCTGAGTCGATGGAGATTTATACTATATAGCCAAGTTCAATAAGGAGCAGCAAAAGCAAATTGGTATCATGGTTAGACCTCCCGAAAACAAAATATCCCTGGGCTTGATCCCGTCATCGCATACACATATACATCTCTTGAACCATTTTTGCGCAGCATTCATCATTTATCCCCATTTGTTCCCATAGTCATCGGATGCCTTGATGACGGAAAGACGCCAGACGCCATGCTTTTATGGTTTCACTCTCCCAAAGGTTCCAATCCCAACATCCAGCAAGGGTCGGTATAACTCGCGTAGAAATGTCAACAAGAGTCTGTTGGTCCCAACCGAGATCGCAAAAATACCCGAGAGATAATCAATCAGCCCGTGAAATTGTAGACCCTGACCTCCCCATCTTCGCCGCCACTACACATTCTCGAGTCACTCAACCCAATGCACGTCACAGGTCCTGCATGTCCCGTGAATGTCCTCTCGCACTTTCCCGTGCGAGGGTCCCACACCTTGACCATCCTGTCTTCCGCTCCGGAGACGATCCTCAACGTATCCGCAGCCACGGCCCATACTCCCTCAACATGTCCGAAGAATTTTCGTATGCAACGACCAGAGTGGACATCCCACAGACGGATTGTTGAGTCGAGGGCCGAGGTGAGCATGTAATGGGGCGGATAGGTGCGATCAGGCTGAGAAGTGAACAGGCTGTTGATGCTGAGGTCTTTGGAGGAGACGATGGGAAACCCGCCGTTTTCGTCCAGGACGGTGGTGGAGCTGTTGGGAGTTCCAGGGTCCGACAACTGCTCCTCGTCTTCTTCCTGCTCGTTGGTGCCAGGTTCAAATTCGGCTGGCAGAGGAAAGACCTGCTGCACCTGTCCCACGTGCCCTTCATAAGTGTGGATGCATTTCTTCGTATCCAGGTCCCAAAGTTTTACCGTGCAGTCGTCGGACGCTGTAAATATGGTGCGGGATGCGGAATCAACTTTGACCGAGTTGACCCAGTCTGTGTGCCCTCGGAGTGTGAAGACTGACCGATCCTGGAAATTCCACACACGGGCAGTATTATCGACTGAGCCAGATACCAGGATGTTAGAGTCGAAGTGGACCGCGATAACGCCTTTGGTGTGGCCGTTGTATGTGGAGATACATTCGCCTGTCCGCCAGTTCCAAACCTTGAGAGTCTTGTCTAGACTGCCACTGATGAGTTTGTTGTCATCGAATTGCAGGCAACGGATGCCCATGGTATGACCAGTCAGCGTCCTCAGCTCTTTGCCAGTGTCCAGGTCCCAGATTTTGATGGTTGCGTCATATGAGCCCGTGGCGAGTATGTTGTCGCAGAATTGAAGAGCCATGACTCCGTTTGTGTGGCCTTTGAGGATTTTGACACTGCATCGGCCGTACTTCCAGTTGGTGCCAACCTTGAATCTATCCTTGTAGACGTCCTTCCAAGGTCTGGTTCTCCTATAGTATTCACTCTCGCTCGTACCAAGCGGCGGCCGTCGGCTCACCACTGGAGATAGTCGTCCATCTGACGAGGAGTCGTGGTGGCTTTCAGTGTCCGACATTTCGACACTCTGCGATGAAGTAGGTGGGTCAGAGTCAAGTGATAGGTTGCTTGCCGCTCGCAGCTCAATCTGCCTCTTGGTAGCACGTAACATTTTCCTCTCCAGTAAAGGCAGGCCCCATCCACACTTGGTACACTTGCGATCGATGTGTTGCTCGCACATTCGGTGCCAAACCACGTCATCATCTGCCAGCTGTCTCCACCTCCTCGACACCTGTGCAGCCTTGCAGAGGGACGTGGTGTCGAGGAAAGAAAGAATGCGGAAGGCGACCTCCGAAGGTAGGGCAGAGATGAAGTCAATCCGGATGAGTTCTCGCACGTTAGCTGAGAGAAAGGAGAGTTGTGGGAAGCAGCACTGAGCCAGGATGCCCTGCAGCATGAGATTTCGATGTTTGGAGGGAGCTGCGGAGAACAAGGACCACATTTGGACGATGCCCTGCCGGTCTTCCTGTGACAACGTATCTAATTCTTTCTGCAGCTTGTCCATCGACGGCTCGTCTGCTTGTCGCCGGCACAGCATGTCAGGTCGGTGTCGATAGCAGAATTTAGAGTTGGGATCTTTCATGGGATCATAGTGGTGGGTGGCAGGTTTGCCAGCATTGCCCAGCGGCGCATATTGAGAAGGGATGTGCTTTGCCAGGAACGGAGCGACGTTCTGGTCGGCATGTTTAGCAGTCGAAGCAATCGTGATGCTCTTGTCCTTTGTGGCCCCATGTCTTCCCTGGTCTTCAGATGAGTTCGTTCGAAGTCTTTTTCTGGCTGGTTCCTCCCATTCCGTTTCCGTCAAAACACCCCTTTGGTGGTGCTTGTCGAGTAGATCAAATGGCATGACGAGGTTTATTCAAAGTCTCTTGAAGGTATTTTCACATCTCGTCTAGCAAACAGTCGTGAATATTTCCGCTCATGCGACACAAGAAAAGGAATTTAGAGGACCAACCCCGATATCCGAATGGTGGGGGGACGCCAGCGGGTAAAGTACCTGACGAGACTGCGCTCATGGAAGGAGTGACCAAGGGGGGGAGGGCTCGTCAGTGGTAGGATTGCTCGTCAGAAGGATCAGAATGGTGCAAGATGGCGAAATGCGGTGCTTGGGCTTTACAAAGGTTCCGAACCTCAAGAAGGCGAGGACCTTTGAGAATGGCGAATATCATCCCCGACACCCGGATTTTCGAGAACCGACATGCGAGTCAGAGGCGATGGTGGATGCCAGATGGGTGATGGTGATGGCTCGAAACGAGGAGGAGGAGACGCCACCGAGCGAGAAGAAGCAGTTAGAGGTTAAGAGGCTGATTAGCGGGACCCGAGTTGGTCAAGTGCTGTGGGTTTGGGCGTTCTGGGGGGCATTTCTAGGCGGCCAGATTGGCGCACCGCCGGGCCTAGTGCCTAAGCCCCCGGGGGTGACGATAGTTTCCGCACATTTGGGGCCTGAGGGTCGCCCAAAGGCCCAACTCTGGGCAGCGCCAGAGCCATCCACCGCGATTCCCTGAGTCAGCCAGGTCAATGCCCGAGATGCGCTCACAGCAGCCTCCGATGGCGTTATCGCGCACGCCATTTTCACCATCGAGAGCATCATCACAGAGTCAACAATTCAACCACCAGCCCTGGTTCCTGCATTCCCCCTCGGCTCAACTACAGACAGCTGGTCCTCTCCCCTTCCGCCTGAGACTTTCTGGGCGCGTCACGGCACGCATTCTCCGGTTCAAAACGGGAGGGTCTGTTGAGGCACTGGCCATCAGCCTACGGGTTCCATAGTTCTACCCCACACTGACCAGGGGCCTTTCTCGCGCTCGATTTGTGAATTAACTCTTCTCCAGGATATACGCCATACACAGTACTCGGTACAGCATTAACAATTGTCCCCTCTCGTGTACCTCGCTGCTGCGGCTGGCTACTTGTGGCGGTCGACGTTGAGCTCACCACCATTCTGAGAGAGAGATAGAGAGAGCTAGTTCTCTTGCTCCCTCCTCCTTTCTCGACCAAAGATGAAATAAGCAATGTCCTCACTTGACCCTGTCATGGCGCAATCTCTTCACCCTACGACTTCTGCTCGATCTTCTCCGTCGCAGTCCGTGCATACCTCCAGTCCTCCGCCGGCCTCTGTCGAGACTCTAGTGTCCTACCTGGTTGCCGCTAAACGATCTCTGGGCAGCATTCATCTCGTCCACCGGGCTACCACCATCCTCACCGAAGCACGTGCCTCCGTCGAGGCCACCACAGCTCTCCTCGCGAAAGCCACCTACCTTCGTCGCTCCTTGGCATCTCAATTGAAGATTCTTCGTGGAGTTCAACTGGAACTAGAGACTGCGGCGCAGGGCATCCAGCACGAGTTTCAGGCTGTGATCAAAGAGCTGGATGAGACCGGTGCAAGGCTGCTCCAATCCATAGATATGCTGAAGCAGACAAGAATTGAAAATGCTTTCAAACCTTCGACGGAAGGAGAGCTGGAGCATGCCCCAGGTAAGGAGACCTTGCACGATTTTGTGGACGACAACGGTGTCGAAACAATCAAACACGCAATGGAAATTGCCATAGACAATGTACAGCAAGCGCAGAATGAAATGAACCACTCCATTCAGACCCTGGAAGAGGACCTGCAATCCATCAATGAAGTACTCAACGGCAGAGGGGACCTCTCTGGCACAGACAGTGAATTACAGCAGCCTGCAACAATTGCCAACATCCTCACCTTATTAGAGAACCACGCCCGGATCATGGCAGAGGAGCTGGAAAGTCTGGTCAAACACTTTGACTTGTGCGTTACAGCCATCAAACACACGGAAGGAGGCGGCGAAGCCGTATTCCAGACCATGAATACCGGGGAAGGAGTTGACCTCCAGGACACCGTTGGCCTGGGCATGGACGACCTTCGCGCCCCGGCGCAACCCATGAACGAAGAGGAACGCCTTGAGATGCTACAGGTGCTCGAGAACGACGCTCAGGAAGTCGACGAAGTGGTCATGGAACTTCAAGACCGCAATGCCGAGATGGAAGCAGAGCTCGACAAGATCCATCAATGGTGTGAACGGCAAGAAAACATCTATGCGGATGTAGCCACGGCATTCAAGCTCCTGGAAAAGATCTCAGGACGCCTGTCCGGGTATGTAGCTGAGATAGCGCGGCAAGCATTGAAATGGAACGAAGAAAAGGCCAAGATTGAAGACGGCATCGGCGGGATGGAGGATCTATGCGAGTATTATGCCAATTTTCTCCATGCCTATGACGGCTTGATCGTCGAAGTTGCCCGACGAAGGACCGTCAAGAAACAGATGGAAAGAGTGGTGGCGGAGGCGCACGCTCAGTTGGAGCAAATGTACGACTCGGATCGACAATTGAGGCTAGAATTCAAGAACGATCTGGGCGAGTATTTGCCCAGTGACATTTGGAGTGGCGTGAATATGTTACCGCCCCGATATTCCATCGCAAGGGCAGATGAAGAAGAGGTTGGTAGTGTGCCAGAGTTGCCAAGAAGGACGGTGGAAGAGGCCTTGAGGAGGTTGAAGGTTGGCAGAGGTGGAAGAGGCACACGATGACAGATCTGGATCCTAGAGTTTCCCCAACACCACGGTAAGTAAGAAGTTGTCTTTTCCTCCACCCCGGTTTCTCACCACACCAAACAACATGACGACACTAGGAAAACACAACACTTGAGATGAGTCTTTATGGACAGGCCCGAGGGTGGCATGATGGTTGTATTGAGTTCACCTCCTCAACCTCTCACTGCCCGACCTGGCCAGACTATGATATTCAAAGAGAGCACTGAACGCCTATTCGACGCATTATCTGATATCATCCTCTATTCTCCGACCGAGGAACTGATTATTTTTGTGAATTCAGGATCGAGTTGCTGTCGGTGCACTTGAACGAGATAGTGTGTGTCCCACTACATTCACCATGAAACAGGAGGGACTTGATTACGGCTCTATTGTAATAACCCGACAATTAGATTTGGGACACCAGGGATTATGACCCTGGCAGAGCCGTAAGGACAGTAAGCACTTCTCGTCGTGACCAGAAAATAGCGCCTCAAGGCTCGGGGGTATAACCCCAGTACCAGATGCCAGTTTTGGACATTTAATTGTACGGTGACAGCCTTGTGCGAACAGTACTGCTCCTACACTCTCTTCAGACCTTCCCTCTTTTCCTGCTCCTTTTCACTTTTGGTGACACGGTAATATCGCCAGTAGTAAAGCAGGCCCGCGGCCCCCGCCAACGCGAGAAGCAAGCCTTTTTGCGATCTCCTGATGAGGGTTTGTCCCAAAGTTAGAGCAATCCATCCCAGCAGAGCCTCGTATGCTTGATGATCGACCACAATGGTTTGAGGGGGAGAGGATCTGTCTCACCATGGACCCCGGCTTCCATGTGGCGAAAACATGTTCTGCCTTCTAGGCGAGGTGGGATACATGATTCGTATTGCAACTGCGTTTAGACTCTGTGCTCGGTATGGTATTGGAGGACTCACACCAGCTAGGCCGGTGATTTGGACAACGGTAGACAATGAGTTTGAGAGAGATGAGCAAGTGCGAGCAAAGTAAAGCGTGAGAGGGAGATTGGGAGCCGGATGATTTAGACGATTGACAAAATGTTCTTCTTTTCCTTGTGTGGTGTGATTTCTCTATTGTATGCTTCGCGGAGCGAATGGATCATCACTGCTTCATGTGTCTGCACGTGCGCGCGGCGAGGAGGATGATGTCAGAGGAGGAAGAGGAGGGGAGACGCTAGAACGGAATAGGTTAGATGCAAGAGATGTACCTCGTACTTGTACCCCTGTAGAAGCGCTAAAAGCATGGCGACGCTCGGGTCACTTCCCCAATTAGTCGATCACCAACTAAGCGATCGTCGAGTATGCTCTCTGCTCTCTGCTCTCTGCCCTCTGCCTTATGCCTTCGATATCGGGACACCTAGCGATAGACAATGGGCGATGGCCATGGGTGCATAGATACATCGTACGCTCGCAATCAATCATGCTATTGGGCGCCCATCATATCACCGCTTACTCCGCCGCATCGAGTCCTTGACCAGCTTCTTCTTGGTGGCCTTGGGCATCTTGTTGTTTCTCTTCTCGCGCTTCTCCTCCTTGACCCTCTGCTTGTGCTGGCGCTTGGCGTCCTTGTCCTGGAACCGTTTCCCGCGCGGCCGGCCTGGCGACGAGGAGTCGGATGAGGATTCGGAGTGGTCGTCATTGTCGTCGTCGGTTGCAGCTGAGCCGTCCGAGCCGTCCGGCCGGAGTGCAGCGCCGCCTCCTTCGTTGTCAAGATATCCTTGGTCTGGGACGTCAGAGGAGAGAGTGTCGCTCGGGACTAGGACGGGCGTTGAATCGACCGCAGCGAGAGCACCTTCGCTTCTCAGCGGCGCCAGGAGATCCTTGTACACTAGCGCCTCTCGGCCCTGCATGTGTAGGGTTTCTACATCTTTCTCCACGTCGTACACTTCATCCAGCGTCTGAGGTATGTACTGCTGGCGGAATACTTCGTTGTCGACCTCATCTTCTTGTTCGTCCTCCGTCCGCTCCGCCATCAGCCTGTCAACTTCCCCCCGCAGCTCGACAATTTCCAGACCCCGGCCAGCAGACGCCGGAGCTTTGGTCACGAACTCGTACACCTTCCTCTCCGCCAACACATTCACCCCTTTTCGTCGGAAGAAATCAGTAACGTTCTTAATATCCATTCGCAAGAAGTCCAGGCTTCGCGGATGGTCCCCTTCCACACTTTGGCTCACGTCGATGATATACGGCTTGTTCTCGTAGTACAGAATATTGTACTCGCTCAAGTCTGCGTGGACCAGTTTGCAGACTTGCAGCATGATTCGGACGTATGTCACCACATCGACATAGAGTGCCCGCCATCTCGTGCTGTCCTCTCCGTCTTCAAACTCCAAGTCTTTCAACCGAGGCGCCGCTTTCCCCTTTTTGCCGTGCCCAATAAAACTCATTCCCAGAACATGCCGTCGAAGATAGAGCGGTTCAGGACAAGGAATCCCCGCTCCATGGATCCTCTTCAGGTTTCGCATTTCCTTTTCCGCCCACATCTTCACCATCGCTCTGTTGTCCCTGGTTTTGTATCCCTTGCGGAATCGAAACTCGCCTGTGACATACTTTTCGCGATCTTTGAAGACGAGGATGGAGGTTTTGTACACCTTGATGGCGACGTGGACATCTTCTTGGGAGTCGTCCTCAGACATGGCGACGGCATGGTAGACGTTCGCTTCCTTCCCTGTAGAAATGGTCCCGTGGATCTCGGAGACGATCCCTTTCTGGATCATCGAAAATAGGATCAGACGAGTTTTGGGGTCCAGGACTTGCTCTGACGTTGCGCGCTCGCTTTTGTCTTTATCTTTGTCTTTGGTGCGACAGCCATCCTCATCTTCATTCCAGCCGGAAAACTTGAGTTCGTTCATTTCGCGGTGTAAGTTGAAGGCCGATCCTTGGGACGGTCTTTGTTGAGGGTTTGCTTTGGGATACTGCCAATGGGGGATGTTCGGGTTTGAAGTTGCTTCCTCGAGGCGTCTCCGTCTGTTATAAGATTTTGTCAGGTCGGTGGGGTTGGAATTTGCAAGGTCCTCAGGGTCGAGGATCTCGTCCCGGTCCAGTTCTTCGTCATAGAGGTCCTCTTCTTCATTGCCGTTTCCCTGGGCGTCTGAGATTTCATCGTATTCAACGTCATCGTCGTCATCTTCTTGGATAAACTGGCCCAACGTTATTCTCCTCTGACCCGGTGCTACATCGTGCTTTACATAGCCATGATTTGACACGTATGTGTGTGAAGGAGCGATGCCATCTGCAATCCCTCTTGCATGTTCACTCGACATTGTTGCAGAGATTTTAGAAAACGAACTTCAGAGGACGGTGAACAGTGTTTGCTGGGAGAGAGTCAATTAAAAAGTCATTGTTGCCACGCACAAAATGAAAGTGGCATTTGAAATGCGTCATTTGAACCGCATTTCGATGCCAAGAAAAATTGACCGTAGAGGTACGGCGGACCAAGACTGCTACTCATGCAGTTTGTTTTTGTTCTTTTGCTCTCTCTCTAGTTTCACCTTCTACACGTCGTCTGCATTTGAATTACTGAGAGTTGCTTTCTGCCTGCGGGGTGATCAAGCGCCGCGAATAAGGAGCTCAAGCACCGCCAAACTCCTGCTCTTCTTTGGCGGGAGGGATAAACCAGTCCGAGTCGACCACCAGCTTGACCCGGTGTAGGTCTTTGGCCATGATTTTGTCCTTGTCTGCCAGATACGCCTCGACCTTTCTGGAACAATCAATATACCTTCCTGACATAAAGTCCAGTTGTCCACTGGACAGCAAGACCACATAGCCTGCCGGCATCTGTGGTGTGTCCCATGTCACATCCTTGAAAAAATTGACTGCGATATTCGCCGACTTTTCTTCTCCTGGCAGGGTCTTGGACACATAGCTGCCTTCCTTGATGTTTCCCTCTGCTGCCTCCTTGAAGTCGGTGAAGAATCGAGTCGGTATGGCACCAGGATGAATCGCGAATGCCTTGATGCCGTGGTCTTTGTTCTCGTGGTGGAGGATCTCAGCCAAACGCACCAGGCCCAATTTACCCAGGGCGTAACTGCCCATGCCGTTGCTCACATGGGCGCCAGCACTTGACGTGAAGACTATCCGTCCGCTCTTCTCCCGTCGCATGATTGGAAGAGCTGCCCGCGCGAAGTTGAAGCCTCCTTGGAGAGACACGGCGAGGGTGTCCCACCACACACCGGGGTCCGACTCCCAAGTCGCCAGCCATTGCGGCGGGCGGCCTGCGTTGGCGAACAGCACGTCAACTTGCCCAAATTCCCGGTCGACCTCGTCGATGAATTGCTCCACTTTTGCATACTCCTTGACATCGAACGCGGCGGTCTTGGTCAGAAGCTGTGGGTTGACTTTCTTGCATATTCTAGCCGTCTCATCGACCTCGTGCAGCTCCAACGCCATCAGACTCAGTGACTTGGCTGCCGTGTGCGCAAAGAACTCGGCGGTGGCTCTTCCAATCCCACGACCAGCACCGGCGATTACAATGTTTTTGTCCTTGAACGCAGCTGCTAATTCTCGATTCCGTCTCGGGTCGGTTGCAGGTTGACAATCATGTTGATCTCCGAGAAATCTTTCTACCATAGGTTCACTTGGCTCGCCCATGGTGATTGTTGGTCAGTGACTGAAATGCCTACTACTGACCACAATGCCAAACACAATGGACGGGGCCGAAAAAGACATTATTATTTGGCCGCGTCAGGGTCCCCCACATGTTCCCAGCCCTGCTAGTGACACAGGTGGAGTAGGTGCATTTGCCGTTTCCCATCTGGTCGGCAATAACCTTGAAAGCCCTCGACAATCGACAGCTACATACGCTTGCCCGAGTGAATGGCCCTCCGAATGGTCGGTAACGGGAGATTGTGGGGAAGGAGGTTTGTGGGGTTTTTGGAGAAGTGTACCGTAAAGATCGCATCAAGGTGGGTTCCTCAGCAATCATTACACAAAATATTGTCGAAAACCTCGTGCCAGGTCTGTTTGGAGCCTCGTCCCCGGCTGTTGGATCCTTCATATTCCCAAAAATGGGTTCAATCGGTCCTTCCAAGGCGGAGCATCATCGTGTCATTATTGTTGGTGCAGGCCCCGTTGGCCTAACCACTGCCACCAATCTAGCAAGGCTCGGAGTCCCTGTATTGGTTCTCGAGAGGAATCATCAAGTCGATCAATCTCCTCGTGCAGCATCATATCAACCATGTGCGCAAGCAGAACTGCTTGAAACGGGCACCCTAGACGACGTCAGAAAGGAGTCTGTCATCAACGACGTGATTTCATTTTGGATCAAAGGCAAAAAGGTCGCCCATGTGGAAAAGAGAGAAGGAGGAAGCCTCTTCCCTTCTGGAATCAATTGTCCTCAGCCAAGACTCGCAGACATTCTCCTCCGCCACCTCACAACAAAATATAACTCGGAAGTGCGATTCAACCAGAAAGTCACCGAGATCTCTCAGGACGAGAAGCAAAGTCTGGTATCTCTGACCGCCATAGATCCTACCACTAACCAAGAAACTCATTATACTTGCGACTGGCTGGTAGGAGCAGATGGGGCTGGCTCTAGCGTTCGCAAACTGTCCAACATCCCCTTCGAAGGCTTCTCCTGGCCTAAAGAAGACTTTGTGGCCACCAACGTGCGGTTTGACTTTTTTAAACATGGGTTTAACACGGCAAACCTGATCATGGACCCAGTGCACTGGGCCGTGGTCACCATTCTTGACGATACCGGACTTTGGCGGGTAGCGTTTGGCGTTAGAGCAGGGTTGACGAATGAAGAAATACGCGCCGAGCTTGATGAGCATTATAAACATATCTTCCCCGTGTGGCCGGTGGACTACGAGTTGGTGCAGTTGAACAAGTACAAGCCGCATCAGAGATGTGCGCAGACATTCAGACTGGGACGCATAATGTTGGCCGGTGATGCTGCTCATGTGAGTCCTCCCATTCCTGCCTGATGTCTTTTGCGATTCTACTAACACGTCTTAGAGTAACAACCCCATTGGAGGCCTGGGCTTGACGACGGGCCTCCTAGACGCTGGCCCTCTAGGTCGCGCTCTCGCCGCTGTCATCAATGGGAAAGCTCCCGAGTCACTACTTGATACGTGGGCCAAAGCCCGTCGGGAGAAGTGGTTGAACTTCACAAACGAATTTTCCATCGAAAATAAGCGCGTGTGTCAACTTGGAGGGTACAGCGACGATCCACTCGGGATCTGGAAGATCGATGACGTGGCCCGGGAGCACAAGATGGAGCAATGGCTCGCGATGGCCACGCCGGAGAAGAAGGAAGCGGATGCGCGGATGTACAAGGCCCTGGAGGATCCACAGGCGCAGCTGATCAGTCGGATGAAGCAGTGGGAGATCACGATGGATCCGATGTGGATGGCCCAGTATGAGGATCCGGAGCTGGTCAAGTATCGCATTTCATTGAGGCCGGCAGTGCTTTCGACGCCGGAGGCTGCGACGTGAGACGGACTGTGCACACTGATCTCCTCGGTATTTAGAATGAGAGATGACGAAGTATTGTGTGATGACCGAGGAGAGCAGATGAGCTTCATATCTTGCAGATCCTAGTTGCACCCTTGCACATAGTCAGAGAATTCGACGCCTTTGGTACCATAGTCCTCGCAGATTCCCACCCAACTCACGCACACAAATCCTTTCATGACCGAAAACACAGAACGGTCTTCGCCGACGTGACTTCAGACGAGCTTGGGATCAACGAGGCAGCTACAATTTTGAAGAAGCCGCCGGCGACCGTCCAGTCCTGTCACCAGGATCATTGGCAACTGGTGAGTGCTGCGCATCCATCATTTTCCACATCTGGGCCGCGTGCATAGCTTCGTCGGGCATGGTTTTCCGAATCGACATGTTCTCTCTGCCGTCACTGATGAACATGACACTCTTACCCTGCTCAGAGCCGAGAGAGAAGACATGGTGTTAGCTCTGTTGAGGGAGAAGCATTTTCAAAATTGGAAACGCAAGGCAGGAAGGAAGTAGACGAAAAACAACGACAAGGACATGACTTATGAGTTATGACGGACAACTTACCAGGCCCAACGTCAATTCAATAGATGAATCGACCATGGAAGGCGTGTATTTCTTCAACAACAGCGTCCTAGTTTTCGTCTTCTTCCCTCGGATAGCCTGTACAATGTTCTCTGCGACCAGGAACCCCTGCATCGTGGCGGCGCGGCCCATCTTTGGACCGGACAGGTCGACCACGTCGCCCAGCGCGAAAATATTAGGAGACGGCGCGTTTCGGATCTGTAAGGTCTTCTCCACAAGGATGGCGCCCGACGCGGAGACGGAGGATGGTGAGAACTCCCTAAGAACGTCGGAGTTGGGCCTTTGGCCTGTGCACCGGATCTGGTGGTCTTAGTTAGCCCCTGCATATATAATGTATGTATAGGAAGGGAGAAGGCTGGCGCAGGTTATGTTAGGGTTCTGTGGCTTGAAAGAGAGAGGTTGCTTTACCACCATGTCACATTGGATGACATTGCCACTGCGAAGCGTGATCTGCTTGGGATTGTCCCCGTCCAGGCCAGAAATAACACGCTCACCCAGGTGCAGCTTCACACCGAGGTCCTCGAGAGCCTTCTTTGCAATATCATGAAGCGCCTCGCCAAAACTATTGAGCAATTTCTCCCGAGAATGCACTATTCTGACGTTTTTCTGGGGATATTTGCTCTTGATGTCCCCGGCGACTTCCACGCCCGCGGCGCCACCGCCGACGACGACGATGTCCCGGGCAGCCGCCACACGCTGTTGCTCTTGTTGGAAGAATCTCGTGCAGCTGGCTTTCTCGTTCGCGTCGTTCGTGTCCAGCTTCGCGGGATACCTCGAGCTCGACCCCGTCGCGATGGCAAGATACTCGTATTCAATCTCTGAGTCATCCTGTAGTACGACTTTCCCGGCTTCGATCGCGACGACATTGCCTTGCTTGAAAACGTATGCTCCATCAGGCGCACCCCGTGGGCTAGCGTCAGGGTAAGGGATGAAGACGTTGTATTCCTGCCCTGCGACGACTGTAGCGCGGGGGAAATTCCACGTGAAGTGGAAATCGGAATGTCTCTCGATCAAGACCACCCTGTATCCCGTAGGCAGGGACTCGGCGAGTCGCTTCGCGAGGAAATACCCGGCGAACGAGCCGCCTATGACCACCACATTGCGCGGCTCCGGGACGGACTTGTACCTGAGCCGGTGGATATTTGCGGATAGATAAATGCCGAGTCTTTGCAAAGAGAGGGAGAGGGTGAAGCCGAGCAGTCTGAGACAGAAAAGGAATCTTGTAAACATTTTTGGAAGACAGCACGGATTCGAGGTCACGGACAAGGCAAAGGGAAAAGGGATATGGATGATCTTATCAGATAAAGAAGTCCATCACTCCTTACATACTGTAGCTTCGCTCCTCGGGTACGCGGTGTTTCCGTGGAGGTGGCTCAGTGGGCACGAGGGGGCGCCGATGTCGGCACGCACACCCTTGTGGAATAGTCCTTCGGTCTTTGACACAGCCATTTGTTTGCCAAGGACAGTTGAAGGGGACAACCTTCGCGGACAGCGGAAATACTAAGCGCCGTCTCCAAGGCCTTTTGGCTCAAGGCTCGAGAAGTCCCTTCTTCATCGTCTCTTGTGGTTTTTCAGCCTTCAGATACCGGATGCTTTCTCTTGTCTGTTGGAAGTGAACGGTTCCGTACCGGAGTAGCTCGGCAAAAGTCCCTGGCTCATGGTCCTTGTCTTCATTGCCGGGCTCCTCCCAGAGCACACCAGCTGCAGGCGTCGTGGTCAGATTCTTCCCATGGGTGATTTTCTGCAGGGAGGACTCTGTCAGAAGACGCCAGACTAACTTGTTCGCCGTCTTGTATTCCTCAGAGCCCTTTGGCGCATCGAGTCTTGTTGCCAGAGCGTTGAAAAGCACGGAGCCGCCGAAGCCAATCGTGGCCTCTGCTCCCCAGTCTTCCTGCAGCGCGTCGAAAATGAGCACCTTGTTCAACCAGTACTCGGTCGCATTGAACCCATCCCTGGCATTTTCCAGCATACAAAGTCTTTGCCAGGACAGAACCTGACTGATGTACTCCATCACTGTTTGGGGTTTCACCTTGAAATCCCAAGCGTACTTCGCCTGTTCCGCTGCCTCGAAGGTTTGGGTCAATGCGAATGAGACTAAAGGATGATGGATCAAGCCTTCATGATTTTGACGATCCTTCCACAAGTAGACGAACAGATCGTGCCTACGGGATGTGTATTAGCAGGTTTCAGGTTGGTTTGCGTAACACTCACCAGCATTTGATAAAGGGATCGCCCTTGCGACTCGCAACGAAGTGATTTGCCATGGTCGTCCCGTACATGATTGGGGCGCAGACTTGAAAAGGCGAACTGGGATCCGCAAGCTCATTCCAGCATATCCTATCAATATCGCGAATTAAGATGTTCCCGGTATCCATATAAACTCCCCCGTGAGAATATAAGCATGCTCCTCGCAGGAAATCAGAGCTATGAGGTCCGGTGTAAATCCCTGTCATCGTGCCAGTGACGAATGATTGGGGGAGGAGGTCAGCCGAGACATATTTGAGGGCATTCGTGGGAGAGCCTGGTACGGAGTTGAGGATATGGACTGCCCATGATGGCCCACAAAGTCGGACCCAGTTGACAACATTACGTTGGCACCAACTCGGCATTGCGCCAATACCCTTATCCCAGAAGGCCCAGATGTTCTTTTCGGACGTGACAGGCTTGTACTGCTCTAACGAGGCCAGAATTTCTTCATCAGAGCGCTGATCAACTGGTTCGACATAGCGCAGTTGAGCTTCGAATTCTGGAGGGATGGTGAACTTGGATAAAGACCCCATGCCTGATGACTGGCATGTGAAACGAGATTCGATATTTAGAAGTGAGCCGACTCAAGCGAAAATGAGCACATAACTTACTGACGAGTCTGTGATTCGATTTATACAGAACTCGAGGGACACATAACAGCCCGGCATTTGTAATTCATTCGTTCCTGTGGAGAAAGCTAGTCGGAGGATGCTACATGACCCCTTGGCTTCGCAGCACCAGCGGGCCTGAATTGGAGGCCTTATCCAAACGTCCTGAAGACGAAAGCGGTCACATAATAAACCGAGCCAGTTGCAGGTTCTTGTTTCAACGGCAGACGCGAGCCACTACCCACAACATCAACGTCGTTCGAGGGCGATGGTTGAGTGGACCTGCCGAAGCATCATCTTCGTTCTGGCTGACACCGAACTTGCCTGAAGATGGCGATTGGCGGAAAGCAGAGCTTGGGAAGAAGATGAAAGCTTGGCGGATTGCACCGAGCTCGTTTGTGAGATAAAGATTCCCCGGTGCCGGGTTTGACCGTGGAATTTTGAGTGACGAGTGAAGCAAGAGGATGGTGAGGGATAATATAAGGCAGTGGAGGAAGAGGAGTCCCACCACCGCCGAAAAAGGGAGGTTAGTAATCACGTGCTCGGTGCATATTAGTGCTCGAAAAGTTGCTTACATAATAACTGCACTAGCCAATATGGGATTTAAGCGCCAATTGATGATTGAGCGTGCCGCGTGCGCGTGTCCATCAACCAGAGCCTCACTTTGTTGTGATCCAACAATCATTCGCAATTCTCAGCTCCCCGGCGCTCTTGCGCGCACGCTGTTCAACACCACTTTGATGATACTCTCATCTGCGCATCATGCATATCAAGCAGATTACCATTCAAGGCTTCAAGAGGTAAGAATTAGCCAGGCGCACAGGCCCAGAAACGAGTCCTGATCCACGTCCGCAGCTACAAGAATCAGACAGTGGTTTACCCATTCTCGCCGAAACTCAACGTTATCGTCGGTCGCAATGGCTCGGGCAAGAGCAACTTCTTTGCCGCCATCCGATTCGTCCTTGCCGATGCCTATTCAACGATGGGACGGGAAGAGCGCCAGGCCCTCATCCACGAAGGGTCCGGCTCCGCAGTCATGTCCGCCTACGTGGAGATAGTGTTTGATAATTCGGACGGTCGATTCCCAACCGGAAACGACGAGCTCATTTTACGCCGTACGATCGGCCTCAAGAAAGATGAATATTCGCTTGATCGTAGGGTTGCGACGAAACAAGATGTCATGCAGCTACTTGAAAACGCAGGATTCTCGCGCGCAAACCCTTATTACATCGTCCCCCAAGGTCGCATCACCAGATTGACCAACATGAAAGACTCGGAGCGGCTGAATGTCTTGAAGAGCGTGGCCGGTACACAGCAATTTGTCGTTAAAAAGGAAGAGTCACAGAAGATCATGAATGATACAAGCAACAAACTAGCCACTATTGACCAAACATTCGAGCAGATCGAAGACCGCCTCAGGGAACTGGAAGAGGAGCAAGCAGAACTCCGAGATTACCAAGAAAAGGACCGCCAAAAGCGTGCCCTGGAATATACTCTGTTCCATCGAGAGCAGGAGGAGATTAATAAGGCTTTGGCTGAGTTGGA